ATTACTATTATTATTGTTATTGTTAGTGTTATTATTATTATTATTTGTATTAGCTGGTATAAAATTGATAATTATTGCTTTTATTTTATGTATATTAATAATATCTTTTATTATCGTAATGATCTGTGATGATAAGATCGAATAGGTTAGGTATTACGCATTTATTTATTAATTGTTAATTTTTGTGTTTAATTTATTATTAATATTTGTGTTAGCTGATGTTACAATAATGATTGCTGTTATTATTTTATATTAGAATAATAAGAATATTTTTGGTATGGTCGAATTGCTGTTGAAAGTAATGGGATTTGTTGAAAGAGGAAGAGGATTCGATGAATAATCGATAACTCACATCTGAGATCGTTTTTTTAAAAGAATATCGATGTGTATTCGAAGGGTTTTGACTAGACTCAATAGTGCATGATGTTGTTGTTGTGTCGTCATGCACACACACACAAAACCACGACGTGCGTATCGATTTCGTTGGCATTGTTCTGTTAGAATTGTTTTTGATCCTGTCGTTATTTTTGTTTTTATTAATTATTATTCCAGTCATAACAGATGATTATTATCGTCAGTATTTGTTAATTGTGAGACAAGATGTTTGATTTCTAAATATCGTGATATATTTTGTTAGGTGAAAGATCTTTTTAGGCGAAATATCATAGAGGTTATGAAGTGGATGATTAGTGAGTGTGATATTTGGTTTATTTTTATGGTGTATGCATTAATTTTATCCATTTATGAATTCGTTCATTTATTCGTTTCTGAAGAATTATATAGTTAGATTATTAATAATATTTCTATTAGAGTTGCTGTTATTGTTATAATTGATTCGTGGTTGGTGTTCGAGAGTGAATCGATAATATTCGTATGGCGATTCGATGTTTAATCGTGTTCACGTTCGGGTGATTTTAGTATAATTATTGTTGTTGTATTTAAGGTTAATGGATGAACAGAGTCGTAACTTCCTTGTGGCACTCTCCAAAACGAGTACTCAGCGTGATGATGAGGTGGATTTTAGTTCATTTTTATTATTATCGTTATTTTTATTGTTATTATTATTTTGTGTATTGTAATCGTTATATTAATGTTAATTAAAACTTCAGGATGTTAATATAATCTATTATAATATACGACGTTTGGGAATATTCGAGAATTTAAACGATGCACCGTTGCGAGCAATATGCCGTACTGCACGTTACGAACATCATCCAGCCAACTTCATTTTGTTCAGGTTTATTATTTATTTATTCATTATTATCATTGTCGTTATGATTATTAATAATCACTATTAGAGACTAATTTCAGGCAAGGACAGGTTGCGACGTGTTGGTTTATTCTTTTATCCGGTTCGGTCTTCATCGATAACCAAATGTTTTTGCCGTATTCATGGTGAGTGCAATTTTCTAATGGATAATCTCACACTTTAAGACAGTTTTCATTTCGTATTTTCATTGCACATTTCCATTTCATATTCTCGTTTATTTTCCGAAAGCGACCATCTGTTCGATCCATTAAATTTATTCATAAGATTTGATGTCTGTCTCTTCTATCAGTCTAAGTACTTAATATATCCAAGACTCTCTCCATAATTCTTTCAAAAGGGTGTTCGATCTGAATGTGAGAACAAAAGTAATTTTGATTCAGTTTCATTTGAAATTGTGCGAAAAAAAAGAATTGAAGAAACAACAAAACCTATAAAATCCAACCGAAAATTGAGCTGTTTTTCGGACCAAACCATTTTGCGCTCCCTTCAACTGTTTCGGAAACAATCCTAGCTGCGCCATTAGAAATGTTTCTAAAATTGGCAAAATAATTGAAAAATTCCACTGAACGGCGGTAAGAAATGGAAAACGTTTGAATTCCTTATGAAAATACGCTCATGTCAGATTATTCATTTATTCAATTACATTTTGTAAACATTCAACGTTTTCGTAATCATCTCGTTCTGTCTAAGAATATCGCATTTGCTTTATGAAAGTCTTCATTTGCTGTCTTTGTCCACCACAGATTTTTTCGTGCAGTTTTTCACAGAGACGTTAGCAAGAGTTCCACTTTCATTCGTTTCATAATTTCTCTTTCACGAAATTACCACTTTCTGTTGCGTTGAAAAAGCGAAAAAGCGGTCTTTCGGAACTCGTTTTTGGAATAGCGAAAACGATCGGAATTTGATTGGCAATGGTTTTGAATTGCCGTTTGGATCATCCACGATTAGATGTTTTTCGAATGTGTTTTTGGGCAATTTGAGTGTCATATTTGTGGTTTTTGCACTGGAATTGTTATGTTTGACGATAATTTCAATATTATATCATTGCATAGAATGCACGATTCGTTTCTGATATCATTACCACTGCTATTTGCATTAGTATTGCTGTTTAATATCATATAATGAAAGTGCTACTGCAATTCTTTATGTGCGTGATAGAGAGAGACGTGATTTTCATTTTAATCGAGATCGAACATTTGCAACAAAGTAAATCTTACAATTAGTCGTTTTGCACGGATTGAGACTAATCTCGAGATAACTTTGAGCTCGAAAGTGAGGCGGAATTCAAAAGCCAAATGGGTAGTATGTAGTGGAGGTTTTTAGCACAAAATAGATAAGATGCGGAAGTAGTAAATTATGAATGTGCGATTAATGAAAATTGATTTATAGTGATTGATATGATGATAGATGAGAATGTAAAATGTGTGTTGTTGTCTTTGTTTTGAATGCTCAAAACTTGAATTATTGCTGAAGAAAATGATTGATGGAGGGAGGGCTTTATGTATGATGCATTACACTGGTTGTTAGTTGTTAGTGGGCTTAGTCGAGAATTAAGAGAGATTTTTGGGTATTATCCGTTTTGACGTTTAAATGATTAGTTGATTGGTTCGCATATTAGTGTAAGAAAGGAGAGAGACAGGAGTGTTCAAGTGATATAGTTTATGAATAATATCAGTGATAAGAAGAAAGTTATCAGTTGTCGTTGTTGTTTGTGTGAATAATGTTTTGTGATATCGCTGCTTGTTTCGTTGTTTGTTGGTAGTTGAAGGAAGTGGTGTAACAGTTTTAGGTGAGTGGATATGTAATGATACGAACGTGATGTACGGTATTGTTATTATTATTATTGCAAAGATGAATTGATTTGTAGTGGAAAGTGCCGAATTTTGGGAGAATATTACTCATTTTATAGCGCTTTTATGATGAGTAATAGGAATACCGATATCAGTAATATGTTGATGTTACATATATTGATATCGATATAGATGGTGGGTAGAGATTAGAGCGTGTAATGGTCATATTGACGCATTGTATGGTTAGGTGATATTGTTGGTAATTATCAAATGATGAGAATGTTAAAAATATTTCGAGTGATTCTGCGAAGAGTTGGAAGAGTTTCACAGATAATAAGATTAATTGAATCGGAATCTATTTTCAAAAAAGTTGAGAAAAAATATTGAAACTTCGAATGTAATATGGTGGTAACATGCGATATTATTTGCGCGTAGTTCAGCTGTGTAAAATATTGCTGTATTGGATGGGAATGTGTACTTAGATTGAACGTAATGGTAATAGTACTAATAATATTGTTATTATAGGGTAATGATGACATATGTTATTTAGATTATAAAATGAATATTGTGTAATGATTAAGAATATATAATTTAGAGAATAAAAACTGAGATGAAATGAAAGATGAATATGAATTAGGAACGGAGAATATTGAGTGATATTATGATGATTTTGAAGATGGTTGTACTGAAAGGAACAGATCTGTAGATTAGATATGATATTGTTGGAGAGAATTTGTGACATGAATTGAATTGAATTGAAATGTTATCTGTTCTTTATTGTATGTTTCTTATTTGATTATAATGTGTATAATATTGCAAAACATATAATATGATACGATGTTTTATTATATGTGATGCATAGCTGTGCATAATAGATGAATGTTTTAATACTATACGTACGAAGAATAATTAAAATCAAAGATTTGAGAAATAACCGGTTAGGGTTACAAGGTTGTCGTATGATATAGTAGAATATAATAACGTAATAAACACACGCTGCAGGAACGATCGGAAACAGATCAGATTTGTAGTGGTTGGTGATTTTATGGTTTATTCTTGATTTGAGTTGATTC